ACCACAGGGACCTCGAGGGCTCAGTCCAGCTCTGGGTCCTCACTGCAGGAGAGCCCTGGAGGGGCTGGAGAGCTGGGCACAGGGTGGACTCTGGGGTCTCGAGGTCCTGTCCCACCTCAGGGATCCTGTCCCCTCCTTCCCCAGCCCCTGCTCCTCCCTGGCTCCGCTGTCCCTCTGCAGGCAGGGAAGGATCACTCCCCCTGCAGCCCAGATTCCCAGCAAAGCCCGGCTCCAGAGGCTGCCTGGCCGTGGCACAGCTGCGCAGGGAGCGTGCTGTCCCTGTTTGTCTGGGAGTGGAGGTGCCTCCAGGTTCATAAATCTGTATGCAGTAGTAGGGGTTCTCTACCAGCAATTCATTTTAATTATGTGAGACATAAAAAGACCACCTACAGATGAGACAATACAGCTGTAAGATTCTCAAGGTTACTACGGGGAATACTTCATAACTGAAGTATGTTTTCCCCGAGGAATTTGACTACCATTTGATTTAATTTTTAATTTTTACATTTTAATCAAAAATAGATCAAATGGTGGTGTTGTCCCCTGGGAACCATACTTCAGATATGAAGCAGTCCATGTTCCTTTTAAATATGTAAAGCTGCCATTTATGTATAACTCATGAATGACACCCTGTGTTGCAAGCAAATATCACGCGGCGATTTCGGGATCGTTGCAGTAACAACACCATAATCACACCAAAATATCAAACCATCCCCCAGCACAGGGCCAGCAGCACCCAGGGACGCCCTGGCAGCTGATCCTGGCCATGCCCAGGGGAAGGAAGAGCCCCGGGATGGAGGATGTGCCCGTGGAGGTTGTGCTGATCCCCCTGGGTGGAGAAGCAGAGGAGGAGCACCTCTGGGAGCTGGGCTTGGGTCAGGAGCAGAGTTTGGGACATCAGAGCCAAGCACGGCTGCTCCAGGCTTGGGAGAGGCTGCACAGGGGCTGGGGACAGACACAGGGAATGGCTCCCACTGCCAGAGGGCAGGGCTGGATGGGAGATTGGGAATTGGGAATTGTTCCCTGGCAGGGTGGGCAGCCCTGGCACAGGGTGCCCAGAGCAGCTGGGGCTGCCCCTGGATCCCTGGCAGTGCCCAAGGCCAGGCTGGACACTGGGGCTGGGAGCACCTGGGACAGGGGAAGGTGTCCCTGCCATGGCAGGGGTGGGGCTGGCTGGGATTTGGGGTCCCTCCCACCCAAACCAGTCTGGAATTCTGTGACAAGAAGCAGCCTCAAGCTGGGCCAGGAGAGGTTCAGGATGGAACTTGGGAAAATTCTTTCCTGGAAAAGGCTGGCAGGGGTGGAGTCCCCATCCCTGGGGGGATTTCACAGCCCTGTGGAGGTGACACTTGGGGACATGGGCAGTGGTGGCCTGGGCAGTGCTGGGAAGGGTTGGACTCCACGGGCTCAGAGCCTTTTCCAACCTGAACAATCCTGTGACGCTGTTGCATCCTCCTGGCATTTTTAATTTTTCTGTGTTTTTAAACATTGTGGCCACTGCTTTTTGTGCTTCCTTGAGAAGAGCTGGGCACAACCCAGGAGGGGAGAGGAATGGCTGAGTCCTGGTGTCCCCAGGGTGGGGGAGCTGCTGGAGCCCTGGCCCAGCCACTTGTCACCCCTGGGAAATGAGGTGACAGTTCCTGCCCGTGCAGGAATTCCCAGCCAAGTCCCTTTGCCCAAAGCTGCAGGCTGGTCCTGCTCAGAGCAGCAAGCCCCAGCATGGACACGCAGGGACCCCGAGTGGAAGCTGGCTGTGGGAGGAAATGCCCAGTGTGAGTGTTAATTGGATAATTATCTGCAGCAATCAAGGCAAAGGCAGAGCTGTTTGTGTGTGACTCTGAATCTGCCAGCACAGGGTATCACACCACGCTCCCCAGAGAGCTGCTGGGGTTTTAAGCAACTAATTTAGACATAAACACCATGGGTTTGAAATCTAATACAAATATGAATTGTAATGTCTAAAATAAACAAAAATAAATTTAAATACATTAACTGTATTCAACACATAAGTCTTGTCTTGTCAGATCCACGTTGCCTTTAAAATCCACTTACCCAATATTTTGATTTTCCATCTTTTTTTGGCAGTCAAGATGCCAAGTGGACCTGTAATTACCATCAAATTAATAAAGTGAGCACCTAAACCTACTACAAAGATTTTACATTACATAAATAATATTTTTTCTTCTCATCAGAGGTTTTATTTACCTTTATTCTTCAGAAATCATTCATGGAATAACAATCAGACAATTCCATGCTGCAGCCAAAGTGGTGTTTAATGCTTCTGCTTTTATAAGGAACAATTTACAAAATACAAAGTTAAAAATAAGAATTAGATCCTTTAAACCTGAATTAAAAACAGGCCAGGGGCCTTTCTGTCTATATACAGGTAAATAAAGCATCACTCTGGTTATTCTGTGTACAAACCACAGCAGTAGGAAATAGAAAGTTTACATATCTTTTTTCATCAACAAAATTTCAGAGTTTACAAGGCATACAAAAATAACTCTGTGGTTCCACTGCAGATTTGACACAAATCTGCTTTAAAGGAATATTCACTGCCCCAGCCTGTGCCAGCTTTATGATCCTGGAAAATCCCAAAATAAATTACAAACACATCTATTTAAAAAAATATCACCATTAAAAGCCTTCAGTGGAGCAGACAATTAAACTCCAATTTGCTTCCAGCCTGACTGATTTAAAAAAGCACCCCCTGCTCTATTGGAAAACATGGAACAAGGAATCACATCTGAGAGGAAAAGTTCACTCTGGAATTGATCCAGGAGCTTCTGCCTTCCAATCTGGGGAAAATTCAGGATAACGGGGGGGGTCTGAGAGGAGTTAGAGGTGATTTTATCCAGAGGAGAGTTTAGGAGGAGTCAGGGCAGCAGTGCCCTGGCATGGTGTGAGTGTCTGTCTGAAATTCCCCTCGTTCTTTGCCTCATGATCGTCATGGAAGTCGAGACCACCAGGGAAAGGAGAAGATCCTGTTCTGAAAATCCAGGTCTGACTGGTCCACCAAGCCAGATTATTGTCTGTGGGTGTGTTTGCTCTCCCAAGGGACACTGCACCCCATGAACAAGGCAAGGGACACTGTGCTCTCCTTCGCCTGCATCACTTAGCAACGCTGGCCCTGGAATTTCTCCACCCTCCCGACTTGGCTGGACTTTCTCTCTGGAATGACCTTCTCGGTGGTCACCACAAAGACCCTGCATTCATCCTGCATCAACCACGGTGACACATGGACTGAGAGGGGAGAAGGTTCTCCCCCAAGGACTGAGACATGCAACCCCTGCATGGAAAAGCCCCCCCTTCTTCCCAAAGACCAAGATGAAATCCCAGAGCGGGGAAGGTGTGTGTGGGGAAGGCCAGGTGACCAGAGCAAGTTTGCAAGTGACCACTGGACCCACAGTGGCTCTCGCCCACTGCTGAGATCAGGGACTATTGTGCCTGTTCTCCCCCACTCAGTTTTCAATAATAAAATCCCCTGGGTCAGCTGGGGGCTGTTGGGATCTCCCCTGACGTGAAGACGGCAGGCTCCCTCACCTGGACTCTGAAGGATCCCACGTCTGGCAGCTATACCCCTCTTTCCTTTTTCCCTCTCTCCTTTCTCCTTTTTCTTTCCCTTTTCTTCATTCTCCTTTCTCCCTAACGCTGTGGTCATTCAATAAAGGTACATTTGTTTTGATTTTTACAGCAAAGCCCCCTTGTCGTGTCAGTTTTTGCACCATGAGGTCAGTGAAAAGAACCTCCAGGAATCCCGTCCTTAGGACGGATCGTGTCACACGGGAACACCTGGGTGTGACCTGCAGGGAGCAGCTCCAGGGGCTCCCCGTGGGGCCAGCCCCCCAGCATGGAGCTGGAACGTGCATTTCTGCAGAGCCAGCCTGGGCAGCCCTGGCACAGAGCAGCTGGGCAGTGCCAAGGCCAGGCTGGATGGGGCTGGGAGCACTGGGACAGGAGCTGGATGGGCTTTGAGGTCTTCTCCAGCCCAAAGCAGGCTGGAGCTCTGCAGGGAGTGGGGTCTGGGACAGCTGGAAACGAGGGCAGGCTCCTTTGCACTGCCTGATGCCCTTTTTGGGGCTCACTCCCAGCACAGATGGCATTAGGAGGAGAATATATTTTATTTACTGATTTCATTGATTTCACTGACTTGCTCTGCTTTCCCCTCTGTGCTCCTGGAGAATGCCCAACACAGTTTGGGAAACACGCCAGTGTGGGAAACACCTGGGAATTCCCAATGTCCCAATGTCCCTGCCAGCCTGAGCTGCAAGTGGCATTTGGGACAGGGGGAAGGATGTCCCTGCTCACCCAGAGCAGCTCCCAGAGCCAAAAGCAGCATCAGGTGCTGCTGGTTTGCCCAGCTGTGGAGCTCAGGAATGCCCTGGATGAAATGCAGGGAAAGCCCTGCCCCGTGCCCAGTTCCAGTGGGAAATTCTCCTTAAATAAATGAGCAGCACACAAATACTGAGTTTACTCAAGGAACACATGAGGAAATAAACCTAAAACCAGACCTGCACTAAACTGCCATTCAGATTTTGATTAAAAAGAAGAAAAAGAGTTCCCAAAAATCCCATTCAAATTCTGCTGCAGGCAGCAGCTGGGAGCAACCCTGGGATTCACCAGGACATTTCAAACCAAGGCTGGAAAAGCAGGAGAATTTAAAAGGATGTGCCACAAACCCCAGCAGGAGCAGAGGAAAGCCAGAAAGGAACCAGCTGGCTCTTGCTTTTACCCCAGACCAGACCAGATCCAAGTTTAAAGCAAACAGAGGAAATGTTGACACAGGTATCTGTGCACTCCTGAACACGATAAAATGGGAGTTATTTAAGGAAAAACCACTTTTTGCTTTGATAATCCACGGATTCCCTGTGTTTTTAACTTGATCCCATACTTTTGCCTGATGTATCCTGGCAGAAAGCTCTTCCATCACAGTCTGAGTCCAGTTTTGGTATTCCCCTCTTTGAACACCCCAAATTTTGACTACATTTAACCAATCTGGCAGGCAACTCTTCCATCACAGAGTCTGAGTCCAGTTTTGGTATTCCCCTCTTTGAACACCCCAAATTTTGACTACATTTAACCAATTTTTGACCAGTCCTAATCATTACTAGTCACACTTGAGGCTTTGAGTGATTCTGCAGGAACTAAACCCTTTTAACCCTTTACATGTAATCAGATATTTCAGCTTTTGCAGCACAGAAACTGCTGTTTATCCACTTTTTTTTTTTTAAATACTGCTTTGATGACCAGGATTTTTAAAAGACAAGGGTGGGGGATGTAAAAATGAATTCCCCACAAATTCTGACCCCCAGATCTCGGTATCATGTATGTAAATACTAACTTGAAAGTACTTATTCTAAATCTAACTAAAATTTTTATTGGCTTGGAGGAATTTTTTTTTTTAAAACCAAAATCTGAATGCCAATTAAGTGCAGGTCTGCTTTTAGACTTAATTCCTCATGTATTACTTAATTAAACTCAGTATTTATGTGATATTCATTGATTTAATGAGAATATCTCAATTCAGTGCTGACTCCAACTCCACACACAACATGGGAAGCATTCAAGGACTGCAAAAAACCTTTGCCTGTGGATTTTGCAGCCTGATAACCCCCAAAATTAACCTTTCAGAGGTTAATTAACCTGTCCTTAGATTTTTGCCAATAAAAGCCTGCTGGGTGACGAGGTCAGGCCTTTTTAAACAGATTTTTTTTTGGGATTTAAATGTAAGCTTCAATGGGATTTTTCCTGGACTTCACAGCTGCAAAGCCACTTAAAAATGAAGATTTGTGTCCTCCCATTCCTGCCTGTGGCCCTGCACAAGGAGGATTTTCCACAGCAGCGTTTTCCAAGGGGGTCAGGGCTGTTGGGAAAACCTTTGGAATCAACACAAGCTCTGGCTCAGTCCCAGGTGAAGCCTGGGCCCACGGCCAGCTCAACTTAACCAGTCTAAAACCTGAAATCTGCCTTTTCTTGTCCTTTTAAAATAAATTCTGAACTACCTAAACATGTAATCTGCCTTTCCTTGTCCTTTATGGACAAATTCTGAACTACCTAAACATTAAATCAGCCTTTCCTTGTCCTTTATGGACAAATTCTGAGCTACCTAAACATGAAATCTGAATTTTCTTGTCCTTTATGGACAAATTCTGAGCTAAACATGAAATCAGCCTTTTCTTGTCCTTTTAAAACAATTTCTGAACTACCTAAACATGAAATCTGAATTTACTTGTCCTTTATGGACAAATTCTGAGCTACCTAAACATGAAATCTGCCTTTCCTTGTCCTTTTTAAACAAATTCTGAGCTACCTAAACATGAAATCAGCCTTTTCTTGTCCCCTTAAAACAATTTCTGGACTACCTAAACATGAAATCTGAATTTTCTTGTCCTTTTTAAAACAAATTCTGAGCTAAACAAGAAATCAGCCTTTCTTTGTCCTTTATGGCCAAATTCTGAACTACCTAAACATGAAATCAGCCTTTTCTGGTCCTTTTTAGACAAATTCTGAGCTACCTAAACAAGAAATCATCTTTTTCTTGTCCTGTATGGCCAAATTCTGAGCCACCTGAGGAGCAGCAGCGTTTTGGGCAGGTGTGAGCTTGCAGGGCACGGTGCCCAGAGGGGCAGCAGGGCAGGGCAGGGCTGCATCCTGGGTTCCCCAGCAGGAAATCTGAGCTGCTCCTCTGCCCCTCTCCGTTTCTAGAAGCCCAGGATGTGACTGAAGTGGCCCTGGAACGAGAAAAATCTCAGGTCAGGACAAAAGAGCTTGGCAAAAAGGCTTTTCCTCACTCTTCATTGTCAAATTTTATTTGAAATAGCTGAGTACCACCACAAATATTCCTTTTTTTTTTTTTTTTTTTTTTTTTTTGAAATAGCTGAGTCCCACCACAAATATTCCCTTTTTTTTTTTTTTCCCTCCAGGGATGAATGGAAATAAATTAACACAATCAATGTCTGCTCAGTCACAGCTCCTGGTGGAAACTTTGATGGAAACTTTGCCTTTAATTCCATAAATCAGAGATTTTGCTATGAAGATCCAGCATTTCCTTGCACCTCTCCTCATTTTGGCTCTGGAAGGAGCAATATTTTCAATATTTTATCTATTCCTTAGAAAGGAAATATCCAATTACAAAAAAAAAAAAAAAAAGGAGCTAGAGTGAGATTCCTGAATATTTTGTTATGATCCAGTAAATCAAGGACAAATAAAATTGGGTAGAGGAAGTGTTATGTTATTGTTCCTTTCAGCCACTACCCAAATTCTGCTTTTTAGAGAGAATTTGAAAAACGTGTTGAGAATCTCCAGATTTTCCAAGTGCTGCTGGAAACATTAATTTGTGCTCTGCTGAAATGCTAGATCCATCTCCTTTATTTTTAATTTCCACTCTTTCTTCCTGAGCAATGCAACTGTGGAGGTTATTAACTTCATGTTGTAATGGGAACAAGCCCCAGTCCTTTTTGTCACTTACAGATTCTCCAGCAACACATCTCGGGCAGGGCTGGGAAATGCCTTTGCTCCCATGATTTTCCAAAATCTGAGGGACAAAACCAGACACAAATTCATCAAATAATGAAAAAAAAAAAGAAAAAAGAAAGAAAAAAAGAGGGCAATTCCTTGCAGCTTTATGATAAAATGATTTGAGAAGTGATTTTGCAGCAAACCCAGGGACAGCGGGGACTTACCACGGAATTCTGCTTCGTCTTGGCAGCCCAGGGAGCAGAGGCAGGGAGGAGTTTCTGCCTGGAGTCCTGGTCCATGGCACAGCCCACGAGCTGGGCACCAGCCTCGCCTGGAGCGGTGCCCAGCAGCCTGCACGCCCGCTTCTGGAACAGCCAAAACAATGGTGACCCTCTGTGCCAGCTTCTGGAACAGCCAAAACAACAGTGACCCTCTGTGCCAGCTTCTGGAACAGCCAAAACAACGGTGACCCTCTGTGCCAGCTTCTGGAACAGCCAAAACAATGGTGACCCTCTGCCTGCCAAGGATGCCACAGCCACTGGGAAAACACCAGGATGGCAATGGGCTGGGAGAGGGGAATTCTGTACCTCACACCTCTCTGTGCCCCTGGGAGCAGGAATTCTGTATCTCACACCTCCCTGGGAGCAGGAATTCTGTACCCAGCAGGAATTCTGTACCTCACACCTCTCTGGGAGCAGGAATTCTGTACCTGGCAGGAATTCTGTACCTCACACCTCTCTGGGAGCAGGAATTCTGTACCTGGCAGGAATTCTGTACCTCACACCTCTCTGGGAGCAGGAATTCTGTACCTGGCAGGAATTCTGTACCTCACACCTCTCTGGGAGCAGGAATTCTGTACCTGGCAGGAATTCTGTGTCTCACACCTCCCTGGGAGCAGGAATTCTGTACCCAGCAGGAATTCTGTACCTCACACCTCCCTGTGCCCCAGTCCCACGAAATCCCTGGGAAAAGGCATCCCTGAGCCTCCACCCCAGCAGGAGTTGGCATGGGGCTGATCCAAGGAATTGTGTGGAAGGAGTGATTAAATGCAGGAAACAAGGAAAAGCCTTGGATCCGTGCTCCCAGTGAGGGGAACATCCTTGAGAGGGGTTCTGTGCCTTCCCTGAACACTGGCACCTTCTCCCAGTGCTGCTCCATCCACTCCCTGCTCCTGGAGCTGTGCCCCGAGCCCTGCCCAGCACCAAGGGCTGTCTGTCTGTCTGTCTGTCCTGGAGCCCAAGGGCTGAGCTGAGTGACCCCTCACAGGACCAGGGGCTCCCAAAACTGCTGCTCTGGGCAGCACGCTGGGAACGGGGAGGTTCAGCTGCAAATCCATGGGAAACACCACGTGGAAACCTCCAGAAGAACATCCCTGGGCTGAGAGTGCCCCTGCAAGGGGAGGGTGACCCACAGCCCAGGCAGGCCTCCTTGGAACTGCCCAGCAGATGGACACCAGCACGGGAATTCCAAAACTGACATGGATTTAGGGCCTGGATGCCAGAGAGACACTCACACACTCAGGATGTTCCTCCCCAAACAAACTTTGTTTGAGGAATCCCAACATTCCATCTCTTTCTCCAGGAAGAAGGAGTGCTGGCACAGAACTAACAGGCTGCTGAAGCACACAAAGGGAATTTAAGGTTGGAATAAGTTGTGGAAAACCAAAAATGGATCAATGCACCAGGAACCTCGGCAGGAAAGAGCTGAGATGGGATCAGCAGGAAGGGAGGCAGGATATCAGGATGGGAAAGGAATCCAAGAGTGAAATATGTACTGCAGTAAGAAAGGGAATAATGGAATAAAAGTCTGGGGAGGTCCTCTAAATCCTTGAGATTGCCTCCCACTGGGAAAATATCCTCTGCCTCTGCTGCTGCAGAGCTCCCCCTTTATTGCAGGGAAAGGCAAAGTGCAGCAGCAAACAGGGAATGTGTGTCAGATGAGGGGGCAAAGGGAAAAATTACTCAATGCCTCACTCCAGGAGGAATTTGATTAAAAATAAATGCCAGGTATTGTTTCGGGGGGTTTTGTTTTGCTCAGTGTCAGGAATTCAGCACATGGAGGAGACAAACTCATCCCAATGCCAGCCTGGGGGAGACTCCAGCCTCTGGAATTGTCTCCTGGGGAAGAAGCAGCCACTGCAGAGCCCTCCCTGCCTGGGACAGGGATCAGCAGCTCCCTGCCCCAAAGGCAAGCAGGGACTGTTTGCTTGTGCCAGGGAATGATCTGGGCAGGCAGCTGGGAAAGGAGCAGGACACCAGCAACGGGCAGGAACGACACATCTCCCTGTCCTCACTGTCCTGCCCAGCTGGGAAATCCACTCGTTTTCACTGATGGGATAAAGACCTCAGAGACAAAACCAAACTCACGCCAAACCCAGCTCCACTGGACACCCAACCTGAAGGAGCTGTAGGAGAAGTTCTGGTCATTTGACGGGGTATTTTGGGTCCAATTTTAAAGATTTTCTCCAACTTTAATATGTCCTTGTTGTGCAATTTCTGCTTTTTTGACCCCATTTTTAAAGCCAGGCTGTCTCCAGTTTGGGGTTCCAGCAGGCCTGTCCCACAGGTCTCCACAGAGCCCAGCTCCCCCTGACCAGCCCCTCTGGATCCCTGAGGAATGATGGCCCTGGGGAGATGCTCCCTGCTTTTTGCCCTGTGGAAAGATGGCTCTGTCTGGGAAAGCACAGGGAATGTGAGATCCATGCAGATCCACCTGGGAAACTCTACCTGAAGATCAATCCAAACCAGGACACACTGGGAGCCTTGAAAATCTGACATTCCTCTAAGTCCAAATGCCTTAAAATCCAACCTTCCAACCCAAACCAGCCTGGGATTCAGATTCCTCTCTGTCATCTCGGAGCCAGGAGAGCAGCAATAGATGGAATTAGTGAGGCTGCCTAGTAAAGAGGGTTTCAGCCAGAAAGAAAGAAAAAAATAAGGAAAAAAGGAATAAAAAAAGGAAAAGAAAAAAATACCAGTAAGAAAAAAAAAAAAAAAGGAAAAAAACAAAAACAAAAACAAACAAAGCAGGGGAAAAGGAAAAAAAAAAAAAAAAAAAAAAAGAAGGAAGGAAAGGGAAAATAAGTGAAAAGAAAAAAGGAAAAAGAAAAAAGGGAAAGAAAAAAGGGAAGCAGTGATTAAAAAGGAATAAAGGAAAAGGAAGAAAGGGAAAAACGAGAAATTCAAAAGGAAGAAAAGGAAAAATATATAAAAAAATAATAACAGGAAAAATAAAACGGGAAAGAGAAAATGCGGGGAAAAGAAACGATGGAAAAACAGGAAAAAAGAAGGAAAACTCCCGAAGCTGCTGAGCTCAGTGCCAGCCCGACCGTGCCGCTCCCGTAACAGGGAAAATAAAACGGGAAAGAGAAAATGCGGGAAAAGAAACGATGGAAAAACAGGAAAAAAGAAGGAAAACCCCCGAAGCTGTTGAGCTCAGTGCCAGCCCGACCGTGCCGCTCCCGAGCCGGCACCACCCGCGACAGTCGCGACACGGCCCGGGCGGCGACGGGACCGGCACCGGGACCAGCACCGGGACCGGGACCGGCACCGGGCCCTGCCCGAGCCTCTGCCTCTGCCTCTGCCCTGATCCCGGTGCCGCTCCCGTCCGCATTCCCGAGTTTCCGTTCCGGTTCCCAGCCCCGTTTCCGACTCACGCATTCCGGCTCCCCGGCTGCCCCCGGCCCGAGCGCCCCGCGCCGGCCCCGCACCGGCCCCGCGGCCATGGCGGCACCGGCACCGCCCCGGGACCGCCCCTGGAACCGCCCATGGAACCGGCACGGCCCCGGGAACCAGAACCGACCCGGAACCGCCCCGGGAACCGCCCCTGGAACCGCCCCTGGAACCGGCACGGCCCCAGGAACCGGCACCGCCCCGGGAACCGCCCATGGAACCGCCCCTGGAACCAGCACCGCCCCGGAACCGCCCCGGGAACCGGGACCCGCCCCTGGAACCGGCACCGCCCCGGGAACCGCCCATGGAACCGGCACGGCCCCGGGACCCGCCCCGGGAACCGGGACCTGCTCCTGGAACCGGGACCGCCCCGGAATCCACCCCCGGAACCTCCCCGGGACAGCCCCGGCACCGCCCCTGGAACCGGGATCCGCCCGGAACCGCCCCGGATCGCCCCTGGAAGGCGGCACCGGGATGCGCTCCTGGAACCGGGATGCGCTCCTGGAACCTGCCCTGGATACAGCCCCGACCCCGGAGCTTCCCCCGGACCGGCCGGGGCTGCGGTCCCGGTTCCGACACCGACCCGGAGCGGTCGCGGCCGCTCCGCGTCCATCGCGCAGAGCGGAGCCCGCCCGGATCACGGGATGGCCACGCTGGACCCCAAATCCCAGCCAGCCCCACCCCTGCCACGGCAGGGACACCTTCCCCTGTCCCAGCTGCTCCAGCCCCAGTGTCCAGCCTGGCCTTGGGCACTGCCAGGGATCCAGGGGCAGCCCCAGCTGCTCTGGGCACCCTGTGCCAGGGCTGCCCACCCTCACAGGGAACAATTCCCAATATCCATCTAAATCTACCCACTGTCAGCTCAAAGCCATTCCCCGTGTCCTGTCCCTCCATCTCTCAGCTCCTCAGGCACTGAAAGGTCACACTGAGCTCCCCCCAATCCTTCTCCAGGCTGAGCGATCCCCCCTCTCCCAGCCCTTCTCACAAGGGAGAAGCTCCCTCCATCCCTCTCTCCTAAGACCCCGCTGCCCTTCCAGCTGCAGCGGGCAGTTTTGCAGGAGAGAACACAGATTATTCCCTGGCATCCCTTCCTTCTGGAGCTCATTCTGCACTCGGGATCCAGTTGTACTTCCAGGAGATGCTCTGTCACATTCCCTGGGCCTGAGGGCATGTCACAAAACATAATCCACAAATTCTTCTGTTTTTCCTTTTTTCATTAGCACTTGCCACGCCTGTTAGCAGAATAGCCAAGATCCAGGTAAATCCAGTTTGCAGAACACCCCAAGTCCCTGCAGAGCTGGAACCAAACCCAAACCCAGCCACAACAAATCAGATTTATTTCATTATTTCCAAGCCATCTCCCAGAGCTGCTTACGTGTCCTGCCAGTACAGCTCTGGGGAATGTTTTCCAGTGCCTGTTCCTGGTGACAACAATGGGAAGCACCACAAATCCCAGGAATCCTGTGCCACATCCACCTCAGTGTGCCAGCACGGGGCAGGGCATCCCATCCTGCAGGTGCCAGCTGTGCACCTGGCTGCTGTTGATGGGGACACACTTCCAAATTTCCACCGTGCCTTCTCCAGGTGAGCCCTGACCAAGAAAGCCCTCCAGGATGGGAACACGGATGTGTTCCTGGCAGAGGGAGCTGGTTCCCCTCCGTGCCATCAGCTGGACTTTCCTGATTTTTATCTGGCATGTTTTGCCCTGGATTTGCAGAGAAATTCCTTTGTACCACCCCGAAATCCCGTTTTTAGCTTTGGTGTTGGATCCTGAGAAACTGAGAGCTCACAAGTCTCATTCTCCTCTCAGTCCTCCTTCCTTTTTCTCCATCCTTTCTCTGCTGTTAACTCCCTCGTTTCACGGGGTGATTGAAAAGGAGAAGTTCTCAGAAGTGCCTGGGTTGGAAGGAACCTCCTGAGGTGCTCCTGAAGCAGGATTGTGTCCCGAGGGGAAACTCCTCCTCCAAGGACGGAGACCCCACGCCCTGCCCCCGTTTGCCCACCCTCCAGAATAAACCCAAATAAATGGATTTAGGAGCCACCAACCCCCCACAGCTCCCCCCCATTCCCTGGCACTCCTTGCTGAGTGCTGGGAGACAGCCTCGGGATTTACGACATTAATTACACTTCCAAACCTGTTTGTTCTCTTTTTTTGGGCCAAAGCTGAACGAGATATTTAGAACTTCAGCTGGGCCCTTCATTTTACCATTTTCCCAGAGGAAAATATCAGCATTTCCATGTTTTCCCAGTAAAACTCCCCAATATTTTGTTCTATTCTGTGTGTACATCTCTGTGACATTTAACCAGGAAAACTGCTGTCCTGCCAGAGCCTTTTCCCAGTGCTCTTTAGTAAATGTTTTAAAATTTAATTTAATTTCTTCATTTTGTTTTAAAATTTCTTCATTTAATACCAATTATATTTTAATATCAGAATAATAATATCGGAATAAAGAAAGGATTTAGCCACATAAGAAAAAGGTTGCTAGGTGTATTCTGAAGTTATTATTTTTCATTTTACACTGCAATAAATACTATTTTTGAATCAAAACAGAGTGTGGATATATCCTGAATACTTGGCAAGTTCCAGCTACTTCCAGCTGGAATTCCAGTCTCTTTCCTGTTATGTCTTTTTCTCTGTAATATTAACAGCATAAAGCGCCAGGAACTTTTCTGCCGTGCAAGAAATGGTGGGATCAGGGCCTGGCTAGAACAGGAATGAGGTTACAACATCAATATTTCAGGGAATTCCCAGCTGGAATATATCAGGTTAACCCTGTATCCATAGGGAAGGTGCTTTCGCTCCTCCAGCTGGGCACTAAATGTGGGAATTAGCACATGGAAAGCTGTTGGAACCCTGGAAAATGAGAATTCCAGACTCTCTGTGCTGCCAGGCACTGACCCCCAGGAGAGCACTGCATTGACCTGGGGCCGTGGAGAAGCTTCCAAAATGGAATGACAGCACTGGGATTGTGGGTGTGGAGTTTGGATAGAAGTGTGTGATATCACAGGGTGGGAAACTCAGAGTTTAAGGGTTTAGAATACAGTAATAGATATTGATGGAGGTTTTAGGGCGAAGGCTGGTCCTTCTTCTTCACCTTCTTCTTCATAAGTTTAGATAGCAGTGTGTAATTGGATAAGAAAGCCCACACTGCAGATCACAGGTACTTGGTTATTAAGTTAAAAGTAAAAATAATTGAGGTGTCATTTCTTAATTGGACAGTTTATCCTTAAAAGGCCTTGCAGAGAGAGATGGGGCTCCATTTTTGGTTTGTTGGAGCGAAGTGCTGCAGAGCTCAGGGTTTGTGAGACTGTGACATGGATAAGAACAGATAAACATCTGAGTCCCAACAAGAAATACCCTCTCACACATTTAATCCCAACCTTGGCAGAAAAGAAACACAGAATCCATAGAAAGGCCACACAGGATTCTTTGGGAAACCTGCTGGAAAACTGCAGAGGGGTTTGGGAGCAGCTGGGAGCACCCAGCCAGCCTCTTCCCTCGGGGGTTTTTCACCCCAGTTTGGGCTCCATCCATCTCCTGGGGGTGCAGGTGAGCAGGGCTAATTAACCTGCCCCTTGCCAGGTTAATTTGTCCCCCTGCCTGCTCCGTCCCGAGTCCTTGAAGCTTCCCTGGGACGCCCCTGCCAAGGCTCCATATGGGATCCCAGAAATACAGCTGCATGGGAAGGAGATTTAGCTCTCCCCTGTCTCCGTGGGCCTATCCATTTGGAGCAGCACTCCTCGCCTTTCCCTTCCCAAGGAACCTGGAAAAGGTCTCGGGAAGCTCTCAAGGCTGAGGGTTTGATTTACGGGGCAGAGCTGGAGCTGACATCGGCCACGGAGGGAAGAGATTTATTTCCAGGGGTTCCATCTGTCCCACGCCTCCTTCCCAGAGCGGAGCCCTGGCACGGAGCCTCGGCCCCCATCCCATAATGCCTGCACCCAGACCCTTGGGATCCCCTCTGCTGAATTCCTGCACGGCCCAAATTCACCTCTGAGCGCTCGGAGCTCACCAGGAACGGGATTGGGACAGGGGAAAAGAATCCCAAGCCCAGGAGGGAATTCCGTGGAATTGTCCATGGAAGCCTGGCTGTGACACGGAGGGAATGTCCACAGCAAAACTCAGTTTGGTGGAAAACTCCAAGGGCAAAAGGGTTTCCCCTTGGAAAATTGCTTTGTGTGTGGAATTCCCTGCTTTAGCCTCACTAATGGCACGGTGTGGTGCCCGCTGCTCCCAGCCAGGTGTTTTCCCTGTTGTTCCATGTGGGATTTTATTTATTTTATTTATTATGAGCTGGAATCTAAAATAAAATTGGGTAATCCTGTTGATAACACAAGAATTCAGGGTTTAAACGAAATTATTTTCTTCAAAACAAATATTTTTATGGGGGGGGAAACACCCACGTTTTTTCCTTGTTTTGTGAGAGAGGAACAATAATTTTTAAAAGCTCTGAAAATCAGCAAACAGGATAAAATCCCAAACATGATTTTCCTAAAGGCTGGAATTTGTGATTATTGCACTGGGTTTCTGTCAGGTTAAAACGTGAGAGAAAGTAACAGAATTAGACTTTCTTTTCTCCACTCACAGTTTGTATCAACTAGAATGTATTTATGGGAAATGTGCAGTTTTAGATCTTTTTCTTTATTTTAGCCTATAGGAAAAGACAATAAATGGAGATATTAATAGTTTATCTTGCATTAATTTTCTTTTTGATAATTCAGCTAAAACATTGTTGATTAATGTGTCAAAATTGTACATGGAATGTACCCAGTGGAACTTCAGGCTGTTTCATGCCCATCTTTGTAACAGCAGAGTGCTTTGGGTTAATTTCTGTCTCTTCCTGCATCAGGAGGATTCTTGGACAGCCCAAAATAAACATTCACTGCTCTTACCCACGCTGGGGTCATCCTGCTTCCAGATTTACGGGCAGCGAGCTCCAGGGCCGAGACCCTCGTTTCACCTTGACAACACCCCAGGTTCTTTTCCACAGAAAATATCCTGGAAATGCAAAGGAAAATTGGAATTTGTCACCCTGGGCAGCAGCCTGGTATTGCAGAGGGGCGGTGGCTCCGGGTGCCGGTGGACAGCAGGGACCAGTGGGGTCCCCAGGGGCTGCCCTGTGACACTGGGGACACACCAGGGCACACCTGGGCAGGTGACACCAGGCTGAGGGTGCAGTGACACCCCTGGAGGACGGGATGGCATCCAGGGGGACCTGGACACGCTCCAGAAGTGCCCTGAGCCAGGCTGGGACACCTGGGGGGGCTCACCTGGAGAGGAGCAGCTCCAGGGAGAGCTCAGAGCCGTGCCAGGGCCTGGAGGGGCTCCAGGAGAGCTGGAGAGGGGCTGGGGACAGGGATGGAGGAACAGGACACAGGGAATGGCTCCCACTGCCAGAGGGCAGGGATGGGTGGGAGATTGGGAATGAGGAATTGCTCCTGGCAGGGTGGGGATGGAATTCCCAGAGCAGCTGTGGCTGCCCTGGATCCCCGGCAGTGTTATCCCAAATGGGTTTCATTCCCAGCTGTGGAAGAGCCCAGGATTTATTTCCAGCTCTGCACAAAAAGGGGACGGGGCTGATCCCCCAAAGCCAGCACACAATCACCAAAACTTGTCACCATTTATACATTTCACCAGACAAAGGCACAAATGTTCACTGGCTGCACATCACACAGCTCCCTTATTAATTAATGTTCTGTCTCCTCGTTAAAGATTCTGTGATTCTCTGATGATTCCCCCTCTGCTTTTGGGGTTTCTCAGCGGGCTGGTCTCCATCTGCTCCCCCTGGAACTCCCTTCTTTCCCACTGGGAGCTGACCCAGCACAGCTGGCCAGTTGTTTTTATTGGTTTCTTCCTTGGCTTGGGAATTCTGCCGAGTGCCTTTGGGGCTGGCAAATTCTGTATTCTCCGTGCCCTCTGTCAGTGGGGATCCTTCTGACGCCTCAGGTTTGGCTTTTCTGTTTTCAGATTCTGAGCTGCTTTAGTGTGTGGGTCTGGGTTCACATCAGGGGATGGTGAGCTCTGTGCACAGAGCAGGGAGACAAAACAATTCCTGCTCCAGCTGGGCACCAAGGACAAATGATCCAAATCTCAGCCCAGGAGCACAAACCCCGTGGGCTGCAGAGAGAAAAACAAGCAGGATGGGAGTGCAGGGGCTGAGCTGGAATTGGACACTGAACTGCAATGTGCACATGGAGCAGAGCTGATCCCAGGGACAGACCCCGGGAGCGCTCGTGCATTTTGGGACCATTTGGGTTCATCCTGGGTGCAGCCCTGGCTGGGCTCTTGTGCTGCCCAAGGTGCATCCATGGAGGAGATCCTTGGAATCAATCCCTGCTTTATTTTGTAGCTCTGACCAGTTTCCACTCTAGAGCAGCCCTCTCCAGGCACCAATATTCCCCAAAATGCGTTCTCCTCCCTGCCCTTGGCACAGCCCTGCCCTGAACCAGGCAGCGCAGCGGGCTCCGTGCCGCCCGGGGAGCTCGGGCAGCGCCGGGGCCGGGCTCAGCGTCCCTTCGTGCCGCCGGGCAGGCGGGGCGGCCCAGCAGGGCCCTGGGGAGAGCACCACGCACCGCGCACGGCGGGGCGCCGCGCCGGGCCGGGCCGGGTGTGCCGGGAGCGGGCCGGGCTGTGGGACTGGGACCGGCTCCGGCTCCGGGTTCTGGCCCTTGGAACGGCACGGCCATGACGGGGCGCTGCGTGAGGCGGGGGGGGCACGTGACACGGGCGGGACGCGTGACACGGGCAGGCCACGTGAGGCAGGAGGAAGACGCGTGAGCAGGGCGGACGCACGTGACCCCGCGGGTGCCGCCACGTGACCGCCGGGCGACCCCACGTGTCCCTGGCTCGGCCCGGCCATGGCGGGCGCGGTGGCGGCCGCGGGCTCCGTGGAGCAGTTCCAGAAGCTGCTGCAGCGCCCGGACAGGTGAGGGGACAGCGGGGGAGGTCCCGCTCCTCTGTCCCTTACCGGGGCTCCCGTCGCTCAGTCTCCTCCGTGGCGGCCAGCTCCGCCTGCCGTCCCTCGGTGCCATCCGTTGGTGCCCTCCCGGTGTCACCTCCGTGGGTGCCAGCCCGCGTTCCCCATCCCGGTGTCCCCTCCCGTGTCTCGGTGCCCTCCCGCTGTCCCCTCTTTTGTTCCCGTGCCTCGGTGCCCTCCCGGTGTCCCCTCTTTTGTTCCCGTCCCTCGGTGCCCTCCCGGTGTCCCCTCTTTTGTTCCCGTGCCTCGGTGCCCTCCCGGTGTCCCCTCTTTGGGTCCCGTGCCTCGGTGCCCTCCCGGTGTCCCCTCTTTGGGTCCCGTCCCTCGGTGCCCTCCCGGTGTCCCCTCCCGGTCCCCGCAGGGCCCAGCTCGGGAGGGGCCGGTGCTGCCGCAGCGCTCCGTGAAACCTGCCGGGGGAAGATAAAAAACCCCAAAGAGGAGGCAAACCGAGCCCCAGGCTGCTCAAAGGCCGGGCTTTGGTCGGGCTTAGGCTCGGCTTAGGCCGGGTTTAGGCTCGGCCTTGGCTCGGCCTTTGGCAGCCCCGCGTTCCCCTGGCTCAGCGCTCGGAGGTGCCGCCCTGTAGCAGCTCCTGCCGCAGGGAATTTGGGGCCAAGTCTGGCGAATCGGCTGGAAAATCCCATAAACCTGAGCTGCCCTGCGAGCTGGGATGTCACCAGAACCACCAGGGCATTTCAGTGGGAACGGCAGTGGAATTTCAGTGGGAGCAGCAGTGGAATTTCAATGGGCGCAGCAGTGAAATTGCAATGGGAACAGCAGTGAAATTGGAGTGGGATGAGTGGGAACAGCAGTGGAATTTCAATGGGCGCAGCAGTGAAATTGCAATGGGAACAGCAGTGGGAACAGCAGTGAAATTGCAGTGGGAACATCAGTGAAATTGCAATGGGAACAGCAGTGGAACTGCAGTGGGAACAGCAGTGGAATTGGAATGGGAACAGCAGTGGAATTGCAGTGGGAACAGCAGTGGAATTGCAATGGGAACAGCAGTGGAATTGCAATGGGAACAGCAGTGGAATTGCAATGGGAACAGCAGTGGAATTGCAATGGGAACAGCAGTGGAATTGCAATGGGAACAGCAGTGGAATTGCAATGGGAACATCAGTGGAATTTCAATGGGAACAGCAGTGAAATTGCAGTGGGAACAGCAATGGAATTGGAGTGGGAACATCAGTGAAATTAGAGTGGGAACATCAGTGGAATTTCAATGGGAACAGCAGTGGAATTGCCATGGGAACAGCAGTGAAATTGCAGTGGGAACAGCAATGGAATTGGAGTGGGAACATCAGTGAAATTGAAGTGGGAACATCAGTGGAATTGCAATGGGAACAGCAGTGAAATTGCAGTGGGAACAGCAGTGGAATTGCAATGGGAACAGCAGTGGAATTGGAGTGGGAACAGCAGTGGAATTGCCATGGGCACAGCAGTGACACATCAATGGGCGCAGCAGCGTTTGGGTGTTCACTGACACACAAGTGGCTCTGATTTATTCCTCTCCTGCCCAGGTTCTCGTTAATCTGGTTTTGTGCCCTGTGATTAATGACAGGGCTGTGCTTTTCCTACAACCCCAGCCTGCTCTGGGACCTTGCAGCCCTTCCAGGGACACCTTGCCCTGTCCCAGGGTGCTCCCAGCCTGTCCTGAGCAACCCCAGTGGTTTTATTCCAGTATTCCATGTGCGTGTTTAAATCTGGGAGGAGCTGCAGTAAGCTCCTCTGTAATTACAGAGTTACAGTGATTAAAAGTGTGGTGGAATACCAGCATCAGTTCTGAGAGACAGCCAGAGGAAATGCTGTTAAATGGGAAAAAGGAACAGAATTTCTTCCAAACTTGCTGCAGGAGTTCCATTTCCCCTCCTGGAATTGTCCTTCAGCTGGATTGTTTTGCAGGGACACTGCACAACAAACTCTTGTGCCCAGAGGAAAATGGCTTCAGGAACAAACACAATATTTTAAGGTTATTTAAAAAAAAACCCACCAGTAATTTTCTCATTGCCTTTGTCACAGAACATCATTTGGTTTTCTCTCTAAAAGAATTGATTATTTTATCCGTGTTCTTGGACCCACAATGAGCTGGTAATCCTGAATAACTCTTCCTCTGCTTCCTTTGAAAACAGCATTTATAATTACACCTTAATGTCATAGGATTTTTTGTTTCAGAAAATTAACATTTCTTGCATTGAGTTGTCAGTAAGTTTGTGTTGTAGAATGAGTGTAAATTTTGATATTTAAAGAGGAAATTGGGGATTTGTCATAACCTTTTTATCTCTGCCCTGTTTAATAGTGGAGCTTTTTTTTAATTTTGGTTGAATGCAGGGAACACTTTGTTTAGAGTTACTTAATTGCTTCATTTTGCTAAGTCTTTATTTTTTATCTCTCTTAGTGTTTTCAAGTACTCTGTTTTTTTTTTAAGGTCAAATCAAAGTGCTCAGGGAGCAGTTCACTTGCAAAATCTGAATTGTTCTGTGAATGAATTAAAAAAAAAAAAATCAAAAAACCAAAACAACTCCAAAACCCCTAGTGCAGATGAATTTAAAATATGTTCTTCCTGAAGATAAAAATGAATATATTGCAGCTGGGTGTTGGTAAAGAAGGAGCAGTCTCTGGTGGGATGAGGATAAAATAATCCTGTGATGATTTGAGGCCCATCCCTGTGGCCAGGTGTGTCCTGCTGTGGGCACAGATTGAAACTGAGGACTTGGAGGAAAAAAGAAAAGTTGTTCTGTTGTTTTTCTAGAGTTTAACTGGGAAATCAAGTGTGTGAAAGCATCCAGGGTGTGTGATCAGGTCACAGGAGCTGCTCCAGCAGGGATCTTGTGCTGCTACAATTTACAATGAATTTCCATTATTTAGGGATAAAAGACATGAAGTACCTGCTGTGGGATGGATGTCTTGATTTCTCTGTTTTTCTAAGTACATTAATATCAGTACATTGTGTATTTAATTCCTTATTCCCATTCTCTGGTGGTTTGACCTTGCAAAGATGGAGAATGGAACTGAAAATTCCAATATCTTGTCACTGCTGTCATCCCAGATGTGTAAGCCCGTGGGAGCTGGTACCCAGTGTGATGGGATTTCTGCTCACACCTTTAAATGCTGTGTAGAACCAATCCCAAACATCCCAGCAAACCTGGAATAAGAAGTTGGAGCAAGTGAAAGCAGAAAAATAACATTGCAGTGTGACAGGTTTTGTACTGCATGGCCTCAGCACTGCTGCTGGGCTCGGAATGTTCCCTGGAAAGGAAAACTCCTGGTATGCTTTAAAGGGTTTTTTATCTCAGGTGATGCCTCAGGTTTGGCTTTTCTGTTTTCAGATAAGGGTTTTTATGGAGCGCCCATCCCTGGAGTGTCCAAGGAGTTGCTGGAGCTGGCACTCAGGGCTCTGGGGACAAGGTGGGGTCAGGCCCCTGGATGGTGTTTCCCAGGCTCAGGGGTCCCACGACGCCGGTGTTTGTTGGCAGCTGTCCCCAGGAGCGCTGTCTGTCCCCAGGTCCCTGGTGGTGGTGCACTTCTGGGCGCCGTGGGCTCCGCAGTGCGCGCAGATGAACGAGGTGATGGCAGCGCTGGCCCGCGAGCACAGCCAGGTCACCTTCGTGCAGGTGAGCCGGGGAGCCCTGGGGGAGGGAAATGTCCCACCAGGGAGCTTCCTCTGGGCTGCCTGCACGGCCTCACGTGCAAGGCCCCTCTCACATCTGGGATCCTGGAGGTGCTGCTGCCGTCAGGGATGACAGGGAATCCTGGAATGCCTTGGGTGGGAAGGGACCTCAGAGCCCACCCAGTGTTATCCCAGAGGTGCTGCTGCCGTGTGGGGTCAGACAAGGAATCCTGGAATGCCTTGGGTGGGAAGGGACCTCAGAGCCCACCCAGTGTTATCCCAGAGGTGCTGCTGCCGTCAGGGATGGCTCAGACAAGGAATCCTGGAATAATTTGGGTGGGAAGGAATCTCAGAGCCCACCCAGTGTTATCCCAGAGGTGCTGCTGCCGTCAGGGATGACAGACAGGGAATCCTGGAATACCTTGGGTGGGAAGGATGCTCAAAGCCCACCCAGTGGTATCCCAGAGGTGCTGCTGCCATCAGGGATGGCTCAGGGAATCCTGGAATGATTTGGGTGGGAAGGAAGCTCAAAGCCCACCCAGTGCCACCCCTGCCATGGGAGGGACACCTCCCACTGTCCCAGGGTGTCCAGCCATGGGGATGTTATCTCAGGATTCCCAGAGGGTTCCTGTGACATTAAAATGACCCTTCAGGAAGGTGAATTCAGGCCCTGCAAGGTTGTCACTCTGCTTTGTGAGACCCTCTGCACATCCCACTGGGAGCCAGGGGAAGGAAGAAGGAATTCACTTCATCCACGTGCTGTTGGTTTTAAACCAAATTTCTCTGGTTAATGAGACACTTGTGGGATGCTGAGGGCAGGGAGCAGCCAGCTGTGTGTGAGTATTTTAATGTGATTTTTACAGCCTTTAGGATGTGTGTGTGGGCTTTTTTAAATGATTCCTCTCAGCTGGTATTTGTAAAACAGGACAGAATTATTTGAATGGTATTTTATGACTTAGAGCTTCAAAAGATTAATTTTCAACACACTGCAAATTCAAGATGCTTAAATTTATCTAGAGTTTAGTAGCTTTTACTCAGCCCAAGAAAGTCTGGAATCTCTCAGTTGCCTTTTCATTATTCCTGTATAATTTATTTATGACCTTTATTATTCAGCTGTAATTTATTTTTTAATAATGAGGTTCCAAAGTTATCCAGGGCTGTGAAACCCTGATAGTGGCACATCCTTCCCCCAACTTCCCTCTTCCCAGTAATGTTAATGTTACTGCTGTTCTTGCTTAGAGAAAATAAGCTGATGACAATTCTTGGGTGAATTTTACTGATACATTTTGGAGGGAGGAGCTCCTCCAGAGGAATATATTTGATTTTGGCAGTTCTTGGTGGGATTTTTGTATTGCAGAATATCCAGCCTGCCTTTGAATTGGCAAGCACCTGTTACCTCCTCGCATGTTTGGTTGACATGAGTGTGTTCACATCCCAAAACACTCACAAACAACATTTTGGGAAGCTGTGCCAATGACAGCAGGTTCCTGAAACATGAAATGGATTCTGTTCTGTGTTATGTGCAACATAAATATCCAAGCAGGAAGCTTTGCTGGGAAAGAAAATGAGTGTTAGATGTGGAAGTCATCATTTGCCCCTGGAAAAAGAATCAATAATTGGAGTTACCTATTCTCCTTCAATTATGTATAAGCTTTCAGTTCAGTTTCAGTTGGATGTAAGCTTTCATTTTCTAGCTGTGGTTTTCCAGTTGATGCTGTTGGAGTGATGATGTGCAGGAGGAGGATGGGGGCTCACTTTTGCTGCTCCTGCTTTGCCTCTCTGATTAGTGGGTTCATTAAGAGCCTGTGTAGCTGGAGCTGCTCAAAATCTGAGCCAGCAAAGATGAATTTTCATAGCAAATCCCTCTGTGATGAAAGTGGGAGCAGTAATCCCTGGCTGGGCACTCAGCAGCCTTGCAGGAGTTAAAAATCAAGTTTAGCACCATCAGCTGAAGGAGCAGCTCCTTTCCCCCTCCTCATTTGCAGGGGGCTGCGGATGTCAGGGGTGATGCAGAGCCCCCCAAAGGGGCACAGCAGCACCTCTGTGATGGGGACATAACTGGGGACAGTGATTTATGGGTTCCAATATAGCAGGAGCTGCACAGCACTGAGAATTTACTAGGTCAGGAGTGCACCCAGAATTTTATTCACAGCCTCCGGGCCTCTTTTGAAACGTGCAACAAAATAAAAACCTCTGAACCTGCTTTGACACCGTGGAGGTTCACGGTGCCACGGCAGCCCACAGAGTCTCATTTAAATGTAAATGTCTCCCAGACTTCAGCAGCAGATCCTGCTTAAATGTATAAAATGCCAGGGAGAACATTCCAGGATTGACACTTGCGGTGAAACTTTAAAGAAGATTATGAAAATAATCCAGTGTTGTTTTTTTTTTTTGTTGTTTGGTTTTTAGCTGGAAGCTGAGGCTGTGCCTGAAGTGTCTGAAAAATATGGAATTAGTTCTGTTCCAACGTTCTTGTTCTTTAAGGTAAGAGGAAATGGATTTAAGAGGAAATGAATTTAAGAAAAGTGGATTTAAGAGAAAATAGAATCCATGTGGACTCTTAATACTTATACTTTTGTAATACTCTACCAGAACCTTAGGAGCATTCTCAGTGAGGAAACACCTCTGTAACTGATTGAAGTCTGTCCAGTGGAACCTAAAAATGGAAATAGAAATGGTTTTTTCACTTTTTATGGAATAGTTCAGGGCTTCCTTAAGTGCTTCGGGATTCATACGTAGTTTTTATTTCACTTGTTGTACTTGGGTCAAAAAATTCACAGCAACATTTCTTTGTAGTTGGGGACAAAACCTAAGAAATTATGATAATAACAGAAATAACAATTCTGTTTGGGTGCTATTTGCCTGTGATGATAAAATGGATACTATTTTCTTAAATAAGTATTTCTGGAGGCAAACTTGGTGCTGTTACTGATGCCTTGGCTGCCTAGAACAGAGGCTAGACAAGGTTAAGAGGATAAAGTGGGTATTTATTAAGGCCTTCAGCAGTCAGAGCCTCCCAGGGGCTACTGCCAAGATGGACATGGTCACGGGTTTTTCAGGCAGATACGAGTTTGGTCTATTTACATATCAGGGGTTAATTCTCTAGTTCAGCTTCAGGTGATGAAGTTATTTGCCCCAGTTTGCTCCTCCCCAATTCACTTTTATTTGTACTTTCCAGGGCCTGAGGCTGTAGGGTGTCCTTGAGTTTCAGGCCTGGAAGAATTGTTTAGTCTGACCAAAACGTGAGGACTGTAGCTAACACTGTGTGGAGTTCAGTTAGGCACTAGTGCAGCACAGGATCTGAAAAACAGAAAGGCTAAAATCCCTCGGGCATCATTACTGCCAGAAAGGCACGAGCCTGGCAGGACAGCCCCTCCCTGCAAAGCCAGGCTTGGCTGGCTGTGTGTGCTGTGCTTTAGCCCAGCCTGGACTGAAGGCTGTGTGTGCTTTGAGCCCAGCCTGGACTGAAGGCTGTGTGTGCTTTGAGCCCAGCCTGGACTGAAGGCTGTGTGTGCTGTGCTTTGAGCCTGGACTGAAGGCTGTGTGTGCTGTGCTTTGAGCCCAGCCTGGACTGAAGGCTGTGTGTGCTGTGCTTTGAGCCCAGCCTGGACTGAAGGCTGTGTGTGCTGTGCTTTGAGCCCAGCCTGAAGGCTGTGTGTGCTTTGAGCCCAGCCTGGACTGAAGGCTGTGTGTGCTTTAGCCCAGCCTGGACTGAAGGCTGTGTTTGCTGTGCTTTAGCCCAGCCTGGACTGAAGGCTGTGTGTGCTTTAGCCCAGCCTGGACTGAAGGCTGTGTGTGCTTTAGCCCAGCCTGGACTGAAGGCTGTGTGTGCTGTGCTTTGAGCCCAGCCTGGACTGAAGGCTGTGTGTGCTTTGAGCCCAGCCTGGACTGAAGGCTGTGAATTATGAAAAAAATCCAGTGTTGTTTTTTTTTTTTTTTGTTGTTTGGTTTTTAGCTGGAAGCTGAGGCTGTGCCTGAAGTGTCTGAAAAATATGGAATTAGTTCTGTTCCAACGTTCTTGTTCTTTAAGGTAAGAGGAAATGGATTTAAGAGGAAATGAATTTAAGAAAAGTGGATTTAAGAGAAAATAGAATCCATGTGGACTCTTAATACTTATACTTTTGTAATACTCTACCAGAACCTTAGGAGCATTCTCAGTGAGGAAACACCTCTGTAACTGATTGAAGTCTGTCCAGTGGAACCTAAAAATGGAAATAGAAATGTTTTTTTCACTTTATATGGAATAGTTCAGGGCTTCCTTAAGTGCTTCGGGATTCATACGTAGTTTTTATTTCACTTGTTGTACTTGGGTCAAAAAATTGACAGCAACATTTCTTTGTAGCTGGGGACAAAACCTAAGAAATTATGATAATAACAGAAATAACAATTCTGTTTGGGTGCTATTTGCCTGTGATGATAAAATGGATACTATTTTCTTAAATAAGTATTTCTGGAGGCAAACTTGGTGCTGTTACTGATGCCTTGGCTGCCTAGAACAGAGGCTAGACAAGGTTAAGAGGATAAAGTGGGTATTTATTAAGGCCTTCAGCAGTCAGAGCCTCCCAGGGGCTACTGCCAAGATGGACACGGTCACGGGTTTTTCAGGCAGATATGAGTTTGGTCTATTTACATATCAGGGGTTAATTCTCTAGTTCAGCTTCAGGTGATGAAGTTATTTGCCCCAGTTTGCTCCTCCCCAATTCACTTTTGTTTGTACTTTCCAGGGCCTGAGGCTGTAGGGTGTCCTTGAGTTTCAGGCCTGGAAGAATTGTTTAGTCTGACCAAAACGTGAGGACTGTAGCTAACACTGTGTGGAGTTCAGTTAGGCACTAGTGCAGCACAGGATCTGAAAAACAGAAAGGCTAAAATCCCTCGGGCATCATTACTGCCAGAAAGGCACGAGCCTGGCAGGACAGCCCCTCCCTGCAAAGCCAGGCTTGGCTGGCTGTGTGTGCTGTGCTTTAGCCCAGCCTGGACTGAAGGCTGTGTGTGCTTTGAGCCCAGCCTGGACTGAAGGCTGTGTGTGCTTTAGCCCAGCCTGGACTGAAGGCTGTGTTTGCTGTGCTTTAGCCCAGCCTGGACTGAAGGCTGTGTGTGCTTTAGCCCAGCCTGGACTGAAGGCTGTGTGTGCTTTGAGCCCAGCCTGGACTGAAGGCTGTGTGTGCTTTGAGCCCAGCCTGGACTGAAGGCTGTGTGTGCTGTGCTTTGAGCCCAGCCTGGACTGAAGGCTGTGTGTGCTTTGAGCCCAGCCTGGACTGAAGGCTGTGTGTGCTTTGAGCCCAGCCTGGACTGAAGGCTGTGTGTGCTTTGAGCCCAGCCTGGACTGAAGGCTGTGGTTTCAGCCCAGTCTGGACTGAAGGCTGTGTTTGCTGTGGTTTAAGCCAGCCTGCACTGTGTGCTGTGCTTTATCCCACCTGCACTGAAGGCCATATTGGCTGTGTGTGTCCCCTTTCCTGAAGCTGTGCGTATCCCCCCTTTCCTGAAGGCTGTATTTGCTGTGTGTACCCCCTCCCTGAAGGCTGTATTTGCTGTGTTTATCCCCCCTCCCTGAAGGCTGTATTTGCTGTGTTTACCCCTCCCCGAAGCTGTGTGCTCTTGCCCTCAGAACTCCCAGAAGGTGGACCGTCTGGACGGCGCTCACGCTCCGGAGCTGACGCAGAAGGTGCAGCGGCACTCGGCCGGCTCGGGCGGCCCCGGCGGCGCTGCCCCTGCCCAGGAGCAGCTGCACGCCCGCCTCAGGGCGCTCATCAACGCGGCGCCCTGCATGCTGTTCATGAAGGGCTCTCCCAAGGAGCCGCGCTGCGGTGGGTGAGCCTCGCCGGTCCCCCTCCCCGGCCCGGCCCGGGGCAGCGCCGGGCTCGGCCCTGCTGAGATCCGCTGCCTTCCACCCTAGGCTTCAGCAGGCAGATGGTGGAGATCCTGCAGAAGCACGGCGTGGCCTTCAGCAGCTTCGACATCTTCTCCGACGAGGAGGTTCGCCAGGGCCTCAAAGCCTTCTCCAACTGGCCGACCTACCCGCAGCTCTACGTGGCCGGGGAGCTCATCGGGGGCCTGGACATCGTCAAGGTGATTTTGTCTCCTCTTTGTCTCCGCTTTTTTTTTTTGGTCTCCTCTTTGGCTTGACACAAGTGTCTTTGTCTTGCTTTTTCTACCTCATTTTTTGCTTCTTTTCCCCCAATTTCCACAGGAGCTCGAGGCGTCGGGAGAGCTGGACACGATCTGCCCGAAGGGCCAGAAGCTGGAGGACAGGTGGGGCAATTATAACAAATTTTGAGGGTTTTTTATTGTGTTCATCCAGGGGAAACCCTCTAAAAATTCCTACTTTATCAGAAGTGCCTCAAGAATCGATTTACTTGCAGAATTCTGGTAGTTTTTCAGTGTCTTTTGGGGTTTCTTCGTGTAAGTCCACGAATTTTTACTTACATTTGTGGTTTGATTTCTGCTTTTGCAAGAATGTATCTGTTTATATATTTATATAGCTGTATATATCTATTTATATATCTCTATATATATATATATATTTATGCATTTATGTATCTATAACTATTTATATATTGATATGTATCTATATATTTATAAATATGCCTTTCTAAATATCTATATTTATAAATGTCTGTATTTCTGTATTTCTATTTATACATTATATATACCTACTTATGTATTTATATGTCTATATCTATCTACTTATATATTTATAGATCTGTATCTACAGGTGGATATATAGATATATATTCCTTCTTGTCTCTATTTAGCAATTTATTCTTTAAAAATAACTGGGAGAATCATATTTTTAAGCTTTTTCCACCTTTATTTGCCACAGACTTCCCAACTCTGGTGTCACTGGAGGGAATCCCTGCCTGGTTCTTCTCCCTGCTCAGTGCAGTACAGAAATAATTTAATAAATCCCATGTAAAAGTGGTGCTAAATAATAATCCCACTGTTGTAAATTCCAGGGATTTATTAATTCCTTCCAAATTTGTCCCAAGGCTTGGGTTACTTTCCTTTGAAGTTGTTTCACTGAGGCCACACACCCTAATTAATGCTTTTAGCAGAGATTCAATTGGAGATTAAGATGAGATGGGCACATCTTTAAAAACTTTTATTTGGTGGCCTTTAAAAACTTATTTTTTAAAGCCTTTTAGCCCCTCTCTGTGCTTTTTAAGGAGTTTGTTAAGAAATGAAACATTTTTTGGCCAGTTCTTGATGAAAGTTTGCAGATTGCACAAGCAGTAACTCCATTTACACAGAATTTTTTTGCTTGGCACAAACTTTTGAGGGAAAGAAGGGAATGGGAAACGTCCTCTGCCTCCCAAAGGGTTTTAAGGTTCCCTTCAAGTTTTGGGTTTTTAGGTTAAAATTGTCCATGAGATGTGTTTTTAAGGAGCAGCAGCACCTCTGGGGAAGTTTGAGTGACATTTTTCACCAGGCTGCTCCATGGGAGATGGGTTCCTGCTGGGAGTGGCATTCCCATCCCAGGGTGGAATTCTTGGAGATTTATCCACTGGAGTGTTCATTCCCACTTCTGCATTTTGTCTGGGGTATTGGGGTATAAAATAACCATAAAATAAGGTGGTTTGTGTCTTTTTCTAGGCTTAAATCCTTGATAAACAAAGCTCCTGTGATGCTCTTCATGAAGGGAAACAAAGAGGTAATGTGGAGTGTTCCAGAAAATACTGAATTTTTGTCTTGTTCTTCCTTGATTCAAATCAGTGCAGCTGGAAAAGTTATTTATCTTTTTATTTGGTGCATCTGTAAACCACAGAACAGCCCTGGTTTTTATTATTGCTGAATATTATTTGTTAGATAGTTCTATTAATATTTATTAATACAGAAATTAATAGAAATATCTAATGCTTAGGTGTTATAATAGATATATCTAATATCTTAGATATCTTATATAATAGATGTCTATAATACCTATTCACATCTAAAAATTGCTGGGTGAAGAGTTTGCAGTGGATATGAATTATTAATTCATTAGAATTGAAATTATAATTAGTTTCATTATAGTTAAATTAATTATAATGAAATTAATTATAATGATAATAAATATAACAAGTTGCTGTCCTTGTTTGTTATAGTTTATTGTGGTGAATCCAGGGCAGTGATGCCTCAAAATGCAGCAGGTTTATTCCATAAATCCATAAAAAATCAGGAGATAAAGGATGAAAAAGGGATTAAGGAGAGGCTCATCCAGCAAAAACCTGGGAATTGCTGCAGTGCAGCTGGAATTGCATGGGTTAACAAAAGCAGAGACATTTCATATCTGCATTTTATCTTTTAGATGGCAAAATGTGGCTTCAGCAAGCAAATCATTGAAATCATGAACAACACTGGGTAGGTAATGGGGCTGAGTTTGGGGGCACTTCTGGGGTGAAACCTGCATTTTATGGAAAAGGTGTTGGAAAATGGGAGTGGAATTGTTCCCCAAGTGGAAGGTTTTCTTTTTCAAGAGGATTTCAACAGCTGAAGGGTTTGCTGAGAATTTTCATGAGGTTTTTTGAGACTTTTGGGGGTTCTTTCAAGATCTGTAAGGGGTTTTTTGGAGAATTTTCAGGGGGTCTTGAGAATTTTGAGGGATTCTGTTAGAATTTAGAGGAGTTTTTGAGGGCTCTTTGGAAGTTTTGGAGTCTCTTTTGAGAGAATTTTGAGGGGTTTTTTGGGGAATTTTGGGGATTTCCTGTGAGAATTTGGAGGGGCTTTGAAAAATCTTGAGGTTCTGAGAATTTTGAGGGTTTTTTGAGACATCTGAGGGGTTTTTTGAGACCTTTGTAGGCTTATTTTTGAGACTTTTGAGGGGTTTTTTTGAGTATTTTGAGAGGTTTTAAAAAATCTTGAGGTTTTAGAACTTGAGGGGATTTTTTTTGAGAATTCTGAGGGTTTTTTTGATAATTTTGAGGATTTTTTGAAAACTTTGAGGATTTTTTTTCCAACATTTTACGAGTTTCTAAAAAATCTTGACATTCCAGAAATTCCATTGCTAATTTTTGCATTTTTAGGTGAATTTTACATTTTTCAGCTGAATTTTTGCATTTTTTAGCCGAATTTTACATTTTTTAGCTGAATTTTTCATTCTTTAGCTGTATTTTACATTTCTTACCTGCATTTTTTAGCCGAATTTTGCATTCTTTAGCTGTATTTTATATTCTTTAGCTGTATTTCACATTCTTTAGCTGTATTTTACATTTTTTACCTGCATTTTTTTAGCTGTATTTCACATTCTTTAGCTGAATTTCACATTCTTTAGCTGTATTTCACATTTTTAGCTGTATTTCACATTTTTAGCTGTATTTCACATTCTTTAGCTGTATTTCACATTCTTTAGCTGAATTTTACATTCTTTAGCTGAATTTTACATTCCTTACCTGCATTTTTTAGCTGTATTTTACATTCTTTAGCTGTATTTCACATTCTTTAGCTGTATTTCACATTCTTTAGCTGTATTTCACATTCTTTAGCTGTATTTCACATTCTTTAGCTGTATTTCACATTCTTTAGCTGTATTTCACATTTTTTAGCTGCATTTTTAGCTGTATTTCACATTTTTAACCTGCATTCTTTAGCTGAATTTCACATTTTTAGCTGTATTTCACATTCTTTAGCTGTATTTTACATTTTTTACCTGCATTTTTTTAGCTGTATTTCACATTCTTTAGCTGAATTTCACATTCTTTAGCTGTATTTCACATTTTTTACCTGCATTCTTTAGCTGAATTTCACATTTTTAGCTGTATTTCACATTCTTTAGCTGTATTTTACATTTTTTACCCGCATTTTTTAGCCAAATTTCACATTCTTTAGCTGTATTTCACATTTTTAGCCGAATTTCACATTTTTAGCTGTACTTCACATTCCTTACCCGCCTTTGCGGCGCTCCCTTACGAACACCCCAGGGTGCTGTTGCTCTGTGATCCTTCCTCCCCATTCCCAGCGGGAATAACGCGAACATCCCGTTCTCTCCCTGTGCCCAGCGTGGACTACGAGACCTTTGACATCCTGGAGGACGAGGAGGTAAGGGAGCCCCTGCCCTGGGCCCCGAGCCCTGCTCCTCCCAGGGCCGGCATTCCCAGCTCGTTCCCTGTGTCCCCAGGTGCGCCAGGGGCTGAAATCCTTCTCCAGCTGGCCCACCTACCCCCAGCTGTACGTCAGGGGGGAGCTGGTGGGGGGCCTGGACATCGTCAAGGTAGGAGCTGCTTTCCTCCCAGTAACAAAGTTCCACTTCTAGGGAATTTTCCTGCCTGCCCCCCAGAGAATCCCAGCAGCCACCCCGGGGTTCTTTCCCAGGGAAAGGAGCTTGGAGTCTCCAGTGAATGACTGGAAAAAGCCCGTTTTTAACCCTTATTTTTTTTTTGGCGTTTTTCTCATCCTTAGTTTTGCTCCTGATGTCGTTTTCTGGGAAAAAGGGAATTTTCTTGGAGTTGTTGGAGCAGCCCCAGAGTTCCCAAATCCTGCTGAGCCCATTCCTGGATGGTTCAGAGCCAATTCCTCAGACTCTGGGACTCCTGGGGGTGCTCAGTCAATAAATCCCATTTCATTCTAAAATTACTGGGACTGCTGAAATGCCAGAGATTTGTTTGATTTCTTTCAGAAGTGTGAGGATTGCCTCAATTACATAGATTAATTTTATTTCCAAGGATTAATTTTACTTCAATTACATAGATTAATTTTATTTCCAAGGATTAATTTTACTTCAATTACATAGATTAATTTTATTTCTATAGATTAATGTTACTTCATGTATATGGATTAATTTTATTTCCAAAGATTCATTTTACTTCAATTGTATAGCTTTATTTTATTTATATAAATTAACTTTACTTCAATTATATAGATTAATTTTACTTAGAGTATATAAATTTTTATTTATTTAACAAGAGTTGGGATTGCTTCAATTATTATACAAATTTATTATTGAAATTATTATATGAAATTATTATATAAATAATAATTTTATTTATAGATACTATTTTTACATAAATTCTGTAGATAAATTTTATTTATCTAGATTAACTTTACTTAAATTATATGGATAATTCTATTTCTATAGATTAATTTTACCCAAAGTATATCATTAATTCTGTTTATTTAACAAGTGTAGGGATTGCTTCAGTTATATAGATTAGTTTTACCTTATATAGGTTAACTTAGTGTATAGATTAATTTTATTTGTTTCTTTAGCAAGTGTGGGGATTAAATCAATAAAAATAATCTAGATAATTGAAGAAGTGTGGGGGCTTTTTCAGTGCTCAGGAAGAGGAGTCTTGGGCATTGTGAGATGCTGTAAAATCCTTTTTTTCTGGTATTTCAGTGTAATTTCTCTCTCTGCATCCTTGGGCTGTTTGAACTCATGACCTGTATGGGTGGGTGAATGTTGTCAGTGGTTTAAATTTCATTTTTTAGTGCAGCATGGTATGGAATTACTGAAGTGGAGCTGTTGATGCCAAGGTGTGGGAGAAGAAGAGCATTCCACGTTGTTCCCCAAGTGTGTCCTGGTGCTCCTTGGGCAGTTGCCAGCCCTGAAATGTGAATTTCTGTCCCCGGGAGGAGCAGGGCAGGCCCCTCCTGCTCAGAATCCCCAGGATATTTCAGCTTCTTCTGGGGGTTTGTGGGTGGGAAAACAAAACCCATCCGTGGGTGGCGATTCCTCCTCCGGGGTGTTGGAAAGCTCTGTGCCTGGAATGTCTGGGATTCCACCTGGGAGGAGATCAGGGACCCCAGGCAGAGCCTCCAGGCTGTGATTTTTTTATCTCTTTCATTAAATCCACCCAAACCAGAGTTTAAATCCTTGATAAACCTCAGAGCTGCCATCCATCACTGCTGCCTTTCTCTTCCAGGAGCTGAAGGAAACTGGGGAGCTGCTGCCTGTGCTGAAGGGGGAGAGCTGATGGGGAGGACATCAGTGGGAAGAGAAATCCCTGGAACAGCCAGAGATTCTCCTGGAGCCCTGAGGAGCATCAGCAGGGGAAGCAGACAGGAAATAAATACAAATATTCTCTGTTTGAAAAGGGGTTTCACTGGGGGCACAAAAAGGTCAATTAAAATTCAGTGCTCCGGGATTTGTGCTGTGGGGGTTTCATTATTTGCACCCTTGTCCATCCCAGAATTATTTCAGGTGAAATTGGAACTTGATTTTTTTTGGGCTCAGCTCTCATTAGGGGAATATTAATGGAGCATCATCTTTTGCTGCCCCCATTAATTGTTTCCATGTGTAATGAACAAGGAAAACACGTTGGGAGCCTTCAGCCAGCCCAGCTTTAGGGAGTTTTAATGAGCTGCAGCTCTGTCCTCTGCGAACTCGTTAAGTGGGCGCACTAATTGCTAATTTGGGGTGCTCGGTCACAAACGTGGGGTTTTGGGAGCGTTCCAGTGGTTTTGGAAGTGCTGGTGAATCCTCAGGGATCCTTCAGGGCTGTGCAGAGCTTTCCTGGGCTGCTCCAGGGTTCCTTCACTGCTGCATCCAGGGATTTCATTTGGGCTCAGTCCTTGTCCCAGCACAAAGTCTGGGTAAGGTCCAAGTCCCCAAATCCTGGCAGGAATCTCCTTGCTGGGGAGCAGCTCTGGGGCTTTTTTTCCCTAAATCCTAAATATGATCCAAGTCTCAGAACCTGAACCAAATCTGGTGTTAAGCTTATCCCAACCTGGGGCTGCAGGGAAGCAGGTCCTTCCATGTGTTAGAGGATTCCCAGGGATGGATATTTAATTTTCCTGGATTAGTTTTAGTAATTGCTATCAAATATGTGTTATAACTTTAAACCCGATTTTAATTGCTTTAAAAAAAAATCCTTGTCATGAAAACAAGCCTTAATTAATCCTCTTAAGTGAATTGCAAATGTGTGCAGGTAGTTGTCAGTAGGAAGAAAATAATTTATTACAGCAAAAACTCAGCGCCCCTGTGGTGAAATAAGGAGATAGAAGCTTTAATTAAATACTAAATACCAAATGCTATTTCCTTTTCCTTCAGAATTCAGTGTAGTGGAATTTATTTGGGGCTTATGGAGTCCTGTTAATGGATTTATATAGACAACAGAGCAGCAGGAACCAGCAGTTGATTCCTGACAATTTGTGTTTGTGTTTATTTGACAGTTTGTATTTGTGTTTATTCCAGTATGGGATACTGGGAAGGAATTGTTCCCTGGCACAGGGTGCCCAGAGCAGCTGTGGGTGCAGCTGGATTCTCCTTGTTTGTATTTCCCTCCTTGTTTTGCAGAATTTCCCTTGTTTGTCCCAGCATTTCAGCTGGATTGTTTTTTCCCTGCCATTTAATATTGGGATATTAGGAGAAAAAAAAAAAAACCAAAGCTATTCCTGAGGATGGTGAAGAGAGGAACAGCCAGTGATTAAACCCTCTGTGCTGCTAAATATATTAAATAACTTTTTCTGGCAGATAATTGTCACCTCTGTCACCTCCTCGGTGCTGGGATAAGAAATTCCTTCCAAGCTCCATGAAATGTTCCAGGTTTGGAAGGGAAGTGTCACCTGGCTGAGATCAGGGATGCAATCAATACCTGGGATTTAAATTAAAAATGAACCTGGCTGCATGTGAGCATTGAGTGAGGGCTTCTGCTGGGCCGAGGGGAATCTGGGTTAGTTCTTGATTTTAATTAGGGGGGTATTTTATGGGGAAATTTGGGCTAGTTAACAATTTAATTAGGGAGGCATTTCCTGGGGAGTAATTGGGATTTCATTTCATGGGGCTGAGACCAAAGGGGAGCAAACAGGGATTTTATTTGTTTTTCCTTTGAGGTGTAGTCCAGGGATGAGGTGAGATTTGGGGGATTTGAAGGACAGTCAGGGGACATGGGGTTAAAGGAGCTGTTTTGGGTTAAAAGAGCAGGTTTGGGGTTAAAGGAGCAGTTTTGGGATTAAAGGAGCTGGGTTTGGGTTAAAGGAGCTGGTTTGGATTAAAGAAGCTGTGTTGGGGTTAGAGGAGCTGGGTTTGGTTTAAAGGAGCTGGTTTGGGGTTAAAGGAGCTGGGTTTGGGGTTAGAGGAGCTGGGTTTGGGTTAAATGAGCTGGGTTTGGGTTAAAGGAGCTGGTTTAGGTTAAATGAGCTGGGTTTGGCCCATACTGTGACTGCCCTCGCCCAGGGTGGCACAGGCTGTGCCTGGTGTCCCTCGGGGCAGGTCCCTGTCCCCATTCCCTGCTGTCTGTGTTGGGGAGCACAATCCCCCGTGCTGTGACTGCCCTCGCCCCAGGGTGGCACAGGCTGTGCCTGGTGTCCCTCGGGGCAGGTCCCTGTCCCCATTCCCTGCTGTCTGTGTTGGGGAGCACAATCCTCCCGAGCCGGGAAACTCCTGCACGCGAGCTCAAAAATTCAGGAGCGGAGGGAGCGGGATGTCAGCACAGCCCGGAGCTCCTTTGTGGGAACCCTCGACCCCCCTGTCGGCCCGGGTCCCCAAATCCTTCTGCCGTCCTGTCGCTCCCGTCGGGGTCCCCAAATCCTTCTGCCGTCCTGTCACTCCCGTCGGGGTCCCCAAATCCTTCTGCCAGCCCATCGCTCCCGTCAGGGTCCCCAAATCCTTCTGCCAGCCCGTCGCTCCCGCTGTGCCCCCAAGGGCTGGGGTGAGGGGCTCCTCCGTGCCAGGCAGGACCCTCGGGGGAGCTCCGGGCGGGCACAGGCAGGGACGGGGCTGGGGACTGCGGGAAAACCATTCCCGGGGATTTTCCTGCCGGCGGCAGCACCGGGCACGGCCACGGGACGGTGCTGGGCACTGCGAGCGCGGGGAGCGGGAGAGAGGGATAGCGGGATAACGGGAGAGATAGCGGGATAGAGGGATAACGGGATAGAGAGAGAACGGGATAGATAGCGGGATAGAGGGATAACGGGATAGAGAGAGAACGGGATAGATATAGAGAGAGAACGGGATAGATGGATAGAGAGAGAACGGGAGAGATAGCGGGATAGAGGGATAACGGGATAGAGAGAGAACGGGATAGATAGCGGGATAGAGGGATAACGGGATAGAGGGATAATAGGATAGAGAGAGAACGGGATAGATAGCGGGATAGAGGGATAACGGGATAGAGAGAGAACGGGATAGATAACGGGATAGAGGGATAGTGGGATAACGGCATAGAGAGAGAACGGGATAGATAGTGAGGTAGTGGGATAGAGGGATAATGGGATAGAGAGAGAACGGGATAGATAATGAGATAGTGGGATAGAGGGATAATGGGATAACGGGATAGAGAGAGAACGGGATAGATAGCGGGATAGAGGGATAACGGGATAGCGGGATAGAGAGATAATGGGATAGAGAGATAGAGGGAGAGCAGGATAGATGGATGGCAGGACAGAGGGATAACGGGATAGTGGGACAATGGGACAGAGGGATAGCGGGGCTGGGGATGCTGCCGCAGGTTAATGGGATAATGGGACTGGGAATGCTGCCCTGGAATAACTGGGCTGGGGATGCTGCCCCAGGACAATGGGATAACGGGGCTGGGGATGCTGCATCAGGATAACGGGATATGGAATAATGGCAACGGAATTCATGGATCAGCTGTGAGCCATCAGAGAATTCCAGAAGGGTTTGGGTGGGAGGGACCCCAAATGCCCCCCATTCCCCCCCTGCCATGGCAGGGACCCCTTCCCCTGTCCCAGGTGCTCCAGCCCCAGTGTCCAGCCTGGCCTTGGGCACTGCCAGGGATCCAGGGGCAGCCCCAGCTGCTTTGGGCACCCTGTGCCAGGGCCTGCCCACCCTGCCAGGGAACAATTCCCAATTCCCAATCTCCCATCCATCCCTGCCCTCTGGCAGTGGGAGCCACTCCCTGTGTCTGTCCCTTCCTTTTCCAAAGCCAGAATGAAAAATCTGAAATCTGGTCTTCACCTTAAAAACCCATAGCAATTATTACCAACTGCCTTTCCGCCTTTTTCCCGGGAATTTGCCCGTGTGACACTAGATGGAGCCTTCTGTGCGCGGGAGGAGCTCTGGAGCTGGGAGCAGCTCTCCCAGCAGTGCCCTCTGAAAATCGTGTAAATGCCATCGCCGCTGGAAGCAGGGATGGTGCTCAGTGCGAAAACACGGTGGGAAAGGATTTCTTACACCTGCAGAGGGCAAAACTCACCTGGATTGAGTGACTCAAACTCCCTTCTACACCCGAACCGAGAGGCAGGACTGCACACAGCATTTTTAAAGTGGATTTTTAGGGCTCCCTGCCCGCGGCAGGGGGGGAATGAGGTGATCTGGGAGACCCCTTCCAGCCCAAACCAGCCTGGCATTCCCTGGCTCTGAGGGATGTGGAGAGGCAGAGTTGTGCTCGTGGCTTTGGCAGCACGTAGGGATGTGCAGAACTTCCTGCCCTTCAAATTTCTGGCTGTCTGTAGCTGTCTTTCTTGGGAAAATCGTTCAAGTGTGATAATTATTTGATGATGTGGCTTTGGTGGCCATGCTGTGGTGGGGAGCACCTCGCAGTGCTCTGCTTGCAGCAGCAGAGTGGTGTCACCATTCTGAGCACAACCTCAGCCCCTGAGAGCGCCCAAAAATGCGGATTTTGGGATGCCAGTGTCAGGGGAGAGGGAGCTGCAGCAGGGCTCTGGCATGGCTGTGCCATCTCGATTGTTCTCTGCCAATTTCACACCCAGAGTGAACAGCTTGGACACTGCTGGCACCCAGAGTGATGAGAGGATAATGGGAAAATGAAATTATCAAACAGATTCGGGGCATAGTGTCTCTGTTTTGTTGAGGATGAGAACTGAGAGGGGATTTCTTGTAGGAAGCTCTGGGAGAGGGATGCAGGGGCTCATGGAAGGGAGATCCTCTTCCCCAAGGCTTTCAAACTGCAGAAATGGATCTGCCCCTTCCCTGGAAGTGTCCAAGGC